ACTAAGGCAACAGAAAAGTGTCATGTCGAAGTAGTAATAATTCATACAATTTACCAAGTCAGCAAATTCATATGATATTGTCTAAATATTCTATGACTTTTACTCCTACTGCTGACATTGGCCATTGCCTCAGCTCTCATGCAGATTGTGCCCGTTGTAAGTAGTCAGAGTGTTTATATCATAAAGTTTATATTAAGTCCATTGTATTCTTTATTAATCTTTACAAACTGGCACAGCGTCTTCCCGGTTATAGACTTACAAATAATGTTGTGTTTTTTTGTGATGTATGGAGTATTAATGAGGTACTATGTACAGTTCAAGATGATCAGCTTGTTGTGAATTTTTAAAGCAATTATTATTAATTTCTTTTTATTTTAAGGATTTTTTGTCAGTAATATAATGTGATGTAGGTTTTATAGAGTAATAAAGTGCTTGTTAAATCTCTCTTCTCTCTCTCTCTCTCTCTCTCAGCTTTTCCTTTCCTATTTTTCCAAACTAATCCGTAATTAATTTACACATAGTAGCCTCTCTTTCTGTGGTTCATCATGGCATGTTTTTAAAACTCAGAATCAAATTTTGACCAATTCTTTCAGAAAGCTGCTAGAATTAACAGGGAATTTGAACTCGAAGCTCCCAATGCTGATCTTGAAGAAGCTGCCAAGGAGGCTGAACAAGTCCTTCAAAGGTTCAACCCTTCACAGGTTTTGTTTAACACTTTTAGTTGTAACCAATTTGCCTTAATGAACGCATCCTTATTTTATGGTTAATAAAAACTTTCCTTATAGTCCTTCCTATCAAATATTTTGGTCACAGATGTCTCAACATGTATATATTTCTCTTTGTTTCAGCTGAAAAGGAAGACCAAAGGAAGGCCTGTCATGGGATTTGAATTTGAGCATCTTGAGCATTTATGGAGAAGACCAAAAGCTGCAAAGGCAAACACTTCCAATGGTACGTCTGTGTTGATCTGAGCACCTTGGCTGAACTGTACTGCAGTTACATTTGCACAGCATTTGATGTTTCTTAAACTTTGCTTTACATATCCCACGGCCCCATCAGGAAGAACCCCCAGAAAAGTGTCATGTTGAAGTAGTAATAATTCATACAATTTACCAAGTCAGCAAATTCATATGATATTGTCTAAATATTCTATGACTTTTACTCCTACTGCTGACATTGGCCATTGCCTCAGCTCTCATGCAGATTGTGCCCGTTGTAAGTAGTCAGAGTGTTTATATCATAAAGTTTATATTAAGTCCATTGTATTCTTTATTAATCTTTACAAACTGGCACAGCGTCTTCCCGGTCCAACAGTACATGATATCTGTCCACACCTCACAGTCTGCCTTTCTGTCCGTGTTGATCTGTCTAAGAAGCAAGAGTCTGGAAATGCTAGTTTAACTTGTCACGTGACAAATCAGATCTTCCAAATAATTTGGCCAAATCAGATCACTTAAAGCTGGTCACACCAAGAGCAATAACTATAATGAGACCTATTTTAGCATCCACACCAACAGATGCTAAGATTCTGTTTACTGTTATACACGATGCAGTTATGTTGTTGTCTGCCATTTGTTGTTGTCAATGTTTTTGTTGTTCATCATGTGATAAATTCTTTTTGTTCCTGTCTTGCAGGATTTCTCACAGATTACTTAATCATTCTCCATCAGCTCTCCACAATATCAGCCCGCCCAAAAGCTTCCACATCTCTCTCTCTCTCTTGTGTGGCACATCTGCTCTCAGTCCTTTACTGCCAACTTCCAGTCTTAGCATGTCTGCTTGTTTTAATGCCTCCTTTACAGTCAACACTCCCACTCCCATCTCTACTGTGAGCACTCCTGTCTATATATATATATTCTTGATGAAAATTATAATTGTTAACCATTTTAATTGGTCCAGCATTTAGTCACAAACAATGATTACAGGAGAATAATAATTGTAAAATATTAAAATATTGTTCTTAATCATTTTTTGACTATTTGTTCATTAAAGGGAAGAAAATAGAAAATAATATTTTTTTCAGCTGGAGCATCAAAACTCCCGGTTTGTAAAATATTATTTGGCATCTTATGTCATGTTCTGTAAACAAATTCTCTTTTTATTTTTGAATATTAAACAATGTTTTTAAGGGGTTTTTATTGCATATTTCTTAGTTACATATTTATTTCCATGTACCCATTAATTACTTTATCAATCAGTCATTGTTTTAAGTTGTTATATTTCCCTATAACTGCTTTTTTTGTTTTTGATTTGTTGTTTGTCTTGGAAAAGTTTGACATATCAATAAACTTTGGGAAATCCGGTGTGTGTGTGTGTGTGTGTGTGTGTGTGTGTGTGTAAAATATTATTTGGCATCTTATGTCATGTTCTGTAAACAAATTCTCTTTTTATTTTTGAATATTAAACAATGTTTTTAAGGGGTTTTTATTGCATATTTCTTAGTTACATATTTATTTCCATGTACCCATTAATTACTTTATCAATCAGTCATTGTTTTAAGTTGTTATATTTCCCTATAACTGCTTTTTTTGTTTTTGATT